ATAAAAGTCTTTATGAAGTAATTGACTAGTTTTATGTGTTGAAATTGATGTGCTCGTCTTTAATAGTAGTTAAGTATCTGGGCAACAAGCTGCTAAGAACATGTAGATTTCATTTCACATCAAGACATTTCATTGTATATTTCATAGACAAGATATTTCGGGTGTTCATGGGCGCCCGCAGGATTTTTTGCAGGGGGATGCAAGTTACCACCTATGGCTCAAAGTCGTAGCTTCAATTTTTTCCCCCGAGCATATTAAAGAAAAGAACTGGTGTCCCCTCGCCCCCACCCCTACCTATACGATATTAATTTAACTGTAAAAGCATGACCCGTAGGACGTATTCATCTTCTTTTTTTGAAGTAACGTCTGTATGTTATAAGATTAGTAGATAAATAGGCCTACTTGTTTCATGCTTTTGCTTCATTTTAGGATGTAAACAAAACAGGTTGAACTGAGCATTATTATTGCTTGAAAAGAGAGACGTAAACGAAGAAACTAACGAATCCAGATACGGACTGTAAAGCAGTGTTCTTTAATAATCCCAAAATCCAAACTTGGTGTGTCTGTCGACTACAAATTATCGGCAACACTAATTCATTAGCTAGTTTGTCTGCCAATAGTCTCGCCTTCCTCAAGATGCCATCCCTGAAGTGTTCCTAACCATGGTCAGTTTGGTTTTTGATTATATAATTAATGTGACTGCTGCTGTGCTTTTGAGCGGCCACTTATGCTAAGATGGACAGACTGCAACGTACAACGCGGAAACTGGTTCAAGAACAGATGAATAATTGATTACAATTAAAACACCCATCAGAAGCACACGAGAAGCAGGCACTGATTACACATAAAGCAGTTTGTCTGTTTTCACTTATAGTAGGCCTAACTATTTTAAAATGCACCAAACATGTTGTTTTGTTTGTTCGTAAAATGTTTTACATGTTTCGGATGTTCCTTCAGAGTTGAAGATAATTACTTCCTAGTCCAAACCTCTCGCAGGACGGCGGGGGATTGGAGCGTGCAGGATTTGAACCCTTGACCATTGATAAATCTGAACGACAATCCAGCGCGCAAACCGCACGACCAGGCAGCCATCCAACTCAAAGATCTTCTCAAATTGACAGTTGACTAGAATTTTTCCTCCAAGACAAAAAGAAAATAACATTTTATCATATTCTAGGCCTTTACTAAATATAATGATAGCTATAATTATGTGCAAAGGAAAAAATAATCGTCACGACTACGTGCTACAGAATTTTGAATTGCAAGCCCATAATAAAGCGTACATGGTCGGACATGATCTACAGATTAGCTTATTCTAGTTTATTACAATTATATAGCTTATCCTCATAAACTTTATTTCAGGGAAATCACTATATGCTAAGTTGCTTCGTATCAGAAGTTTATTGATTTGAAGGTGTAAAAAAACATGACAACTCTCTCACGCGCTTAAAGATTGCACGAAACAGGAAAGGCTCAAAATTAACTATCAAACAATTTACAGCCCAGACACCAGAATATAACATCTGGCATAGGTTTCTGTCACATACTCGTTTGAAATTCAATGTGACATGAAGTGAGTTAATAGTCATTTGACTATCTCGTGCCTTATTTACGAAGAAATAATTGGTCTGTATTTGACTACGGGGTGAAAACCTCAGTTACCTTTTGGACTCCTGAGAGTAAAGAGATGTATGTATGTATTGTGTAAGATAGTGATGCCCAAAATACGACCCGCGGGCCAGATCCGGCCCGCGAATCGGTTCCATCGGCCCACCGAAATGTCGGCACAAAGTGTAGCAAATCCGCTACTTCCCCCTCCTAAAGAAAAGGTTTAAAAATGTCTCTTCACCTACGTAAGGGCCCTCAATTTTTCTCAGATTGATTGTTATCATGACCTTTAACATTTGTGCGTTTATGAAATTGGACTCCCCCAGAAAAAAAGTAAAAAGACCTTTACTTGTTGGTAAATAAAGTGTGGTTGTTTTAAATAAAAAAAAAAGAAACGCACATAAACGGCATTATAAAACAAATTTGACGTCTTTCGAATAAAAAGATTGCTAAACAAAGTCTAGAGATTCGAAGATTAATGTTAATATTTACCAAAAAGAGACAAGAAAATGAGTCGTTGGTAAAGCTAGCTACACTGTTGCTCATATTTTTAGTCGAGAAATGATGCTGTATTCTGAGGCATGGAAAAAAAAAGATACTATTATCCCATTAGTGAATGTAAGTGCTAGATCCCCGTTTTTCTAATCAAATAGTTTCAGGTCAATTTCTTTCGTTTTTGTACCTCTCCTTTATCTGGCCCGCGACACCAGTGTCGGAAATTAAAATGGCCCGCAGGTCGATTTATGTTGGGCATCACTGTTGTACGAGATGTAATATAAATGGGTTCTAAGTGATGTATTTCCATGGCTGGAGTTGCCAAATTATTATGCACTATTTTATTAGGATTATTAAACGTTTTGTCTGTTGAGACGATGCTTGCTTCTAAATATATGTGTTGTGGTCAAATTACTAAGTGAACTTAGTGGCACTACGCAACAACAAAATTGATCAGGATAAAGTTATTTAATGTTTGCACAAAGAACATTCTAACAAGGCCAGAAGAGGCCCTAATGCTATACAAATAAACATTCGCGTTATCAGCATATGTCAAAGATATGACAGTTTCGAAAAAGCTTATGGACCTGATGTAATCAGAAGAAAAAGGGAACATTATTGAACCCCAACCCCCCTGGCTACGCCTATGCCCAGTAGCGGCCTTAGGGGGTGGCAAGTGGGACAACCTCCCCAGGCCCCGCGATTGGAGATTCCCTTGACACTTTCAGCTTCGAAAACCAGAACAGTTCTCTTATATACTCAATATCTCTGGAAATCTTTCCAGGCATCTTTATAATACCAAATACTATTTCTATGTAAGCTCTTAACATGACATAAACTTCAGCAGCACGAGGTTTCTGTCTAATTGTAGCACAACGAATAACGTGATTAAAGAAAAATTAGAAAAGTAAAACTGCTGTAGCGCGCAGTCTTAATAAAAATTCTAGCGATTGTACAGTACCTTTAAGAATACAACACCGCATATCATGGGAGAACAGAGAAACAAACAAACAACGGTGATAGCCGAAGTCGACCCAACCATGCAAGTACATCTTCGAAGAATTAAGAACGCCGAGGCTCACGGCCATTACATCGGGCATAGGATTCAAAACGAACATATGAACATTATGGCATCAGAAGTAAAAGGGAACATTATTGATAAAATCAAACTTGCAAAATATTTTCCCGTCATTCTTGACTACACACCTGATGTTAGCCACAAAGAGCTGATGTCCTTTATATTGAGTTTTTTAGACGTATCTTAATGTTGACAACTTAACAGGAAAGGGTTAGTCATGGCGCTTCTTGCTGCGCTGGTGAACGTTGGTCAGGACATCGCCTATTGTCGTGTCCAGGGATACAAATACAATGGTGTAAACTTGAAGGGAAAGCACCAAGGAGTCCAACCACACATTATTCGCATCAACAATCGACCTTTTGCGCTCTTCTTGCGGCGGCCATAATCTTAACCTTCAGAGTGTTTAGCAGAAATATTATTATGTAGTTTGTTGATTGTTCATGAACAAATGTCTTAATCATTAGTTTCGTTGATTAAACTTTAAGGCAAAATCTTTCATAAAGTACATTATGTAATGTAGTCAAACGGCCAATAGTACAGTACATATGTAAGGTACTATGTTTTGTAGCAAAAATAAAACCTACAGCATTAGAGGCGGACGAGACATTAGCGTGATGTGATGTGGTATGGATATATAGCCTACACTTACGGCTTAGGGCCCCGCGCACTGCTAAGGCCGCCTCTGCCCATGTCTCCTTCAGTGGAGTCCATTAGGGCGTCGGCGCCATAGGCGCCATTATCCCGTTGATTGTTAGAAAGGCTTTTATCCAACCACCAGGCCTGGACATGGGGCTCTTCACCTGTCCTGTCTGAGGCCTCCAGAGTGTCGAAGTCCGACAGCCATCAACAAATACAAGACAGGACAATTACAGTAGGCCTACACACGCAAGTATCTTTTTTCCATAAATTGTGAGAAGTCACCTTCCAGGAGCTTCTTGTAAACCAGAAGACCACGTAAAATCTGGTATAAGTTATAAAATGGTTTCGTTTTAATAATTTACCCCTAGGATTATAGTGGGTTCTATGACAGTGCGTGGCTCACTGCAATCGCATATGTTGCAGTGACCTAAGGCAGGCTCTGAAAAATATCGGCGTATGCTACTCACTGTATAATAATAAGCTTTTTTTTTACATAAATGAATTAACCTTTTTAACATCGTTTACCGTACTTTCAAAATACAGCAAGAGAAATAAATAAATAGAAATTGCTATATGACAAGCGTGAGAGACATAAAACGCTTGGGCTTGTGATAGCTACATATAAAGAGGGTCGAGGTTCTCAACATCGGACTCAATCATAGTTGTGCTTACTGAGCAACTAAAAGCAATCCTGAAAACATTGTCCCTGGATACCTCCCCCCCCCCCCCCCACCAGTGATCCTGAAAACAGATTGGACCATAGTGCTTTGGGCATGCTATAAGCATGAAAAAATGCTCTGTATGAAAATAAAAACTATTTAAAATAATATGGAATCTGGTCTAGCAATTCATAAAAACTATTTTTTAAAAATCTCAATCCAGATCTTGTCCTATAAAATACAGACGTAGGTAATTCACACAAAAAAAAGTATGTACTCAGAGATTGTAATAATTCATAATTCAGTGACAATGAAAAGTAACATCTATTTAGCACACACACAAAAATTGATTGCAATAAATCTAAAAAAAAAAAAGAACTATTTTATTGAGGTCTAAATTATTTTGTCTAACATTAATACATCTGTACATAATGGGTGTTTCTTATTTTTAGTTGGCAGCACTTAATGATGCCAAAATTATTTTTGATAAACAAATCTGGATTTATTTTTGGCCAGGAAGAGACAGCAAGGAATTCTGGGTAATAATAGATCTAGATGATCATTAGCTTCATCTGACTTAGCTTGTTCATGGCTAATCTAAATCACTAAGTGATAAATGTGACTTCCTGACTTTTTAACTTCGTCTTAAGTCTTAGCCCTTAGCTTCTTCATTTGTGAATCATGATTGGAAGTGCTTGGCCCACAGATCATTCTTTTAAGATCAACTTTATCTTTACTAATGTCTAATCAGTTTAATCTATATCTAGTTTATATCTACTTTATATAATAACAATAGACCTAGACTCTTATATCTGTATTCTATGATCTATACTGACTATACATCTAGAATCTGTATATCTAGATCTATTCCTATGCACTGATTATAAAGATTTAATGTTTCTGATGAGCAATACTACTGTCGACAGCCATTGCCAATTATCCTACTCATGTACTAGATCTGGCTCTATTGATCACTACTCATATCTTGCCTTGATAAAAACAACTGTACTAGTTTGGATTAGACATTCTAATTGGTTCTATTTTCTTTTTTTGATTATTCTCACGTATTCCAGTTGGCTGAGTAGTTACCAAATTGTGCTATTATTCACTGTAGATCTAGATCTTAACTTTTAAGTATCAAAGAAGTAAAAAAAGGATGATGAATGGTACTCAAAGTGCTTTAATTGCTACCATTCAATGTGTTGATTCAAGTATTTATTCTTATCCCTAAGAGTTTATCAATAGGATGGATGCCACAAAACTCACTTGCTATGTCAGAAACTCTTCCTATGAAACTTTCAGTAAGTAAAAAAAAAAAGTCAAGTTTTCCTTTTCAGACCTTGTGGTCTATAGGGCAGATGATGTAAAGATCATCTGTTTCTGTGGCCTATGGTTAACCAAGGTGTCATGTGGCCTCCACAACGACCAACCACCTTTACTTTCCCCTTCTAATGTCAGGTACCCATTAGAGCTGGGTTGACTCAGACTCAAATAAAAAATCCCAGTCTTCACCAGGATTCGAACTCTGGTTCGGAAGCCAAGCACTTTACTGCTAAGCCACAGCACCTCTTTCCAGTAAGTAGGGCAGCTTAAAATTTAATACTTTAATCTTAGTGCAAAAAGAATAAAAGCAGTCTTCAAATTCTACCTTTAAATTTGCAAAGATATGTTCATATTTTAATGTATGCAGTAAAAAAATTGTTTCAAACACTCAGTACAATATTCAATTACTCTTTTTATCTGGGTTACCTCAGAATGCATGTGCAGAAAATTTCCTGAAGTTGTTTTTAAATCTGTTCCCTTCACTTTCAAGTGCTTTAAATGATTCATTAAATTTTTATAATATTACTGAATAAAATGTCAAAGATTAAATATTGTTATTATTATACTATTCCTTTTTTTTGTAATACGTTTGCATCTATTTTTGTTTCATATGTTCGCATTGCATTTTTTATGTAAAACTTCTAATATACTTTACTAAACTCCTAATATACTTTATAAGGAACGGTTTTGTTAGATGTTTTAAGAATTGATTTTATCCATATGGAAGTTTGGTACTATATGAAACTAAGATTGAATTGGTGACTTGTTATGAATTTAATGTATGTTGTTTCATCAACAATTCTAGAATTTGTCCAATGCCTGTGATCCTCTGAGTTGGAGAATGTGCTGCATAATACTTACCAGTACCTTGCTGATAGCTGGAAGTTCATGAATATTATGTTGTCCTTGATTTGATTATTTTGAAAACTACCATTTCTGAAGACTTGAGCATTATTTCTATAATTTAAAAATATCTTCAGGAAATATGGTGTTTATAATATTAAGAAATTGAAGATAATATTGTTCTTACTAATATTAATATTTTGGCATAGTTATTTGAAAATAATCTTAAACATATTTTGTTCATTGTATATATACATTTAATAAATAGTTGTCCAACTTTGAACAATTGTATACTCAATTATCAAACATTTTGTTGTTTTTTTTTACTGTAAATGTAACTTGAAGCAAGTTAACTAGCACACTAAAAAGATTTAAAAAACAATACTGTATGCTTTAACTAACATGAGACTTAAAGCTTATTGGCTTAATAAAATAGAAAGCACATCATTACTTCAATATTCACTTGTCAATAAATGATAGCATTATTCAATTTTTAGTTACATGTTCAGACTATTAAATGTTATTATTTAAATTATAGCAACTTTCTCTTTCAGTCAAGCTTTAAAACGTCATTCCTTTAAAAAGTCTACAATAATAAGTTAATGTCAATGTAGTATTGTTCAGACACTTACAAGCTTAATCATCTAAACATCAAAAAAAAAAATGTTTGTATGGTTTTCATTTGTTTGTACATCAAATATGTATTAATATAATTATCATTTTTAAATGAAAAATTAAATACTGAAGATGACCATTTCTGATATATTCTCATTTCACAAAACAAACAGAATATTATCAGAAATTTCATCCCTTCATTGTAACTGTAACAGGCTTCATAAAAAAAATGGAGTGACAATCAAATCAGGTTTTTGGAAGTAGTATGCTCCTTTTGTAAAAAAAAAGAAACATGCCTTTTAAAAAAATTTTAGATAAAATTTTTCTTGGCTGACTTGAGTAGAAAGTAATAGAAATATGAACTTCATTTAGCAATATGCTCACACTTAGCTGAAGTGGTTTTTACTAGTGAAAATTGTTAGTCCAAATAAGCTATTAAAACTACTGTCAGCTTCACATGAAAAGTTTTACAGTTCTTCCTCTTAGACTTTTAGCTATTATCTATCAAGAGCAGGGTAAAAAAGGTTGGTAGATTGGATGGAAGGCTTCTTAAACTGGCTTGACCAAAACAGGACGAAATATCCTGATTAGGGAACTGATATTTAAAGACGATGCGGCTCTCACTACCATTCGCAATAATGATTACTAAGGCTAGTCAATACTTCGACAACTGCGGATCAATAATTCAGTCTTACAATAAATCTCACCAAGACAGAAAAAAGGGCATAAAAAGTCAACATCATCAAACTCCATTTGAGTGAGGGATTGAGAGGCTCAAATCCTCTATTGCAAAAGCCCTGGACAGAAACCCCGCTGTATTGCGTAGTGCATACATGTCACCATAAAGGTCGAGAATTTTTGGTTTCCCTGACCTGTTGAGACGGAGATCAGCCAGTCAGGGCAGACAAACAGAATATGGGGGCACCGTTTGGCCATACCCGTGAGAAATAGCCAACAGGACAGTGGCCTGTCCTGCACTGTGTTATAATAGGTTACCATAAAACGTCACAGAATATACTGAAATGTGTGATTCCTCCTTTTTCTATTTTATCATTCAAAAGCCGCATGTAACCAAGATGCTGTCTTCTGTCAGCTAAGGCAAGTTGGCGCCTAAGCTGGTCTTTAAAGAATCTCCATGGGTCATCTTGTTACATCGACCACCTTTTAGCTCACCAAAAAAAAAAAAAAGACTTATTTTGCCATATGTTCATTCACCATGCGAGATGTGTGTAAATTGTCAAATGTAATTTACTAAGAAAATAATCCCAACTGGCATCACAATTCAATCAATGTCGTAAACAAGAAAATACACGAAATACAGGCTTGGCTAATTAGTCTATATTGGCTAAGAAAACCAATTATAAAGCTTTACAGTTATAGATCTAAGTCACAAATTGGTTTGTGCACACTTAACTCTGAAACATCTTCTATGGCAATTAAGTTTTCATTCATGATTTGCTGTAAAAGTGGCGGTAAAAATCTTCGGGAAGGGTTTCTTTATATAGTAAAAAAATCTACCGGAAGTCAATTTGTCATGCAACCAAGGACGCCTCGGTGAACGGGACTTATTTATTAAAAAATATAGGCTTAGTGCGCAGAGATGGCAGTCCATGTAATATATAGTCTATGATTTTAGTTAGTCTGCTTTAGTACTAAATTCTTTTTTTGTATCTGAGTACTGAAGTAATTTTTTGTAACAAATAAAATGCAATTAAATATGAATGTAACAGAAGGTGTGTAATGGTAATTTATGTTGCATGAAAAAATATTTTAAAATATATGAACATGTTTCTGATACCATATACCAACACATGTAAATGTTTCTGATTTGAAGAGCCAGGCTTGTTCCATGAAATTCTTTATTTATTTCTATATTTGGAATTTAAATTGAACATCAGTAGAATACACTTAATTAAAGTGGCAGGGAATATGAAATAGAAGAGTTTGAATTACACTTCATCAAGGAAGAATAATATAAATATCTTAGCAAGTTACTTTTCTTGTTAATGAAGTTCTCAAATGTGAGGGTAGTTTATGTTTAAAACATGTATTTTCTCCGCAGAGGACTTCAACATGATAAACTTCGCGATGCTATACTGAATATAATTCAGAAAATAGCGATATGTATAGTATGTGATAGTGATTAAACAAAGTATAGGGTGTATTTGACGGGATGAGAAAGGAGTAAGATCATATCCAATCCAGACTAGGTTAGTGACTACGTGATGTAATCTCCTTCGTTAAGCACATATTGACAATAGTTTAACACTACCACACTGTAGGAAGGATAAAGCTGTTGAAATTTCAAAAGGCGTACACGTACAGCGCAAAAGTTTCGATGTTTTATTTGAATTATATGACGTAAACTGCGAAATAATTATTTTGTTCAATAAGCTCAAAAAGAAACAAAATTCAGGAAAAGAAGAGTTCAAATTATACAGTATGCCGATAGATGCGATTTCACTGTAACTAGACTTATTCGTATATTTGGGTTTAGATCGGAGAAAGTGCTCCTTAATAATGTTAAGAAAGAAGTGAAGTTTTTTTTTCTACATTTGTGAAATATACTCTCTTTTTCGTAAAAAGTAATTGTGCTATGAATGTATTTCTAAAAAAAAAAAAAAAAAGCTGTCTGAAATGGTTTTCAATATTTCCATAGTACATTTAATAACTTGGTTGATTAGTTAATTTAAATAATATGAAACATCATTTAGGGATATTGTATAATCCTCTATCCTCTTTTTTTTTTTTACTTTATTACAGAAATCTAATTTTCATTCTATATATTTTTATTTCTCGGGCTCAATCTTTTTTTAAAACAAGTTTTGTTTCGGTCTACTTTCTGTAATGTTTATATTCCTTGTTTTATATTTCGATAAAAGTAAAAGAAAATGTTGCTAATGGTGACTTGGACGATTGTTTACATTTTTTGACACGTTTTGTCTTAGATTTTAAAATATATTTTATTTGACACTTAACAAAACATAACGAAGGCTGAAAGTGTCACATTACACTGTGATGGCAAAATGGTCGTACGTCGGTTTGAAACTTTTGTCACTTAACTTCACGATACAAGCAAGATGTCACAATGATGTGATTATCAGATTAGGAAAATGCTATTAACACTGTTTATAATTTAGAAAATAGAGATATGTGATAGTGATTAATCAAAGTATAGGGTGTATGAGGGAGGAGTGGGATCATCACATCCAATCCAGACTAGGTTAGTGACTACTTGATGTAACATCCAATTTGGGTTTGCTTGGTAGAGGGACAGATAGCCCTTAAAGGCAAGATATTGCCTTAAATTGTTTTGTATGTTTTGGAATTTAAGATTATTTTATTCCAGCCCTAACCTCCCGAAAGACAACGGAGTATTACGGCGGGCAGCGTCCTAACCTGGGACAGTCTAGAGCGCATACCAAACCGTGTGCCAAA